CGTCATCAGAAAGGTAGACGGGCACTATGTACACGGCCCTAGGTTTGCTAGAGGGAGCTGTACTGTCTCAGTAACCTGGTTTTGCCATCAACGAAGGAGGGGACAGGTGGTGACGAGCTGATTGGGCTGGTTGACCCTTCGGCCCAAGAATTTTTAGACCAAGAACCCTAAGTGCAACGAGAGTGAGAGCGAGGAACCGACTGGGATGGACAGCAACGAGAGCGTGTACGAAGCGGAGCGGGTCGAGTTTGGTCGTGCTAGGACTGGCCACAGCGGCACCGGAGCAGCGGCACCAGAGCAGCGGCACCAGAGCAGCGGCACCAGAGCAGCGGAACCGGAGCATGCGGACGGCATCGAACCATGGCGCACAGACAAACATCTCTTGTGTAGTCAATCATTTTTCCGTTTTTTTTCCTGAATAATACTGGTTTTGGGTGTGTGTGATGACGTTACTGGTTTGTAGAGAGACGCGACAGACATGGCGCGGATAACCCGGGTGCTTTTACCGTATTCTACACAAGATACCACACCCCGGTGATAACATTTTGGGCTTCAAAAATATTATCACCGGGTGTGGTATTGTGGGGGGGGTGTGGTATCTTGTGTACCCCGGTGGTAAAGCCTAGCTCGCAGGAGCTCCTCAGGGGGTGTGATAAACCAGGGGGTGTGGTAGCACATGCGACCACCCACAGGGAGGGTTTGGGAGTGGGATAAAAAAGGGGGTGTGATAAAATGGGGTGTGATAACACGTCGGAACACCCAAAGAGTGTGTTCGGGTGTGTGATAAACAGGGGGTGTGCCGCTTGCGTAGAAGTCTGCTCGGGTTGAAAGAACGAGGTGATCTGTGGCGCCTGTGCTGCTGCGGTCGAAGCAGTCGTGGGAGAAGCAGATGTACTTGCGGCGGCATTCTGCTCTTCCCGCACGTTCATGTTCTCTGAGGTCTCCATGTCTCCCCCCGTACGGTACAAGCTGTGCGTGTGTGATGCTGTTTCACCCCCGGTGATAGAGACAGGGAATGTATGCGGCGTAACCTGTGTTATCACCGGGGTGTGGTATCTTGTGTACCCCCGGTGATAAATCATGGTCTGAAAAATACACCCAAAATTACCACCGGGGTGTGGTATTGTGGGGGGTGTGTGGTATCTTATGAGGGTGTGGTATCTTGTGTAGAATACGGTAAGTGTGTACCTGCATCGTGGAAGACCCCTTCAACGTGGAACGATTCCTAGTCAGTGTCGATGTTTACACTGCTGTGCCTAACACAGATGATCTGGATAGATTCGGGTGATTGTCAATTGCAATGATGGCTTTGGTTGGGTGTTCTTCATCGTATGTCCACGGACTCATTCTGACAGCACTTCAGACAGCAGCTGCATGCCCCGAGCTTGTGTACCATGCACCATGGTGTTATTATTGTACAGAGAGCACTTCAGACAGCAGTACGCTGTAGTAGACGAATATTCACTTTGGTCAAATGCGGGACAAGGGGGGTGATGGCGCTGCTGTTGTCGATTTGTAGTGTGTGGGCGTGTAGTTCAGTTGTGAGCACGCACGTGCTGCAGGGATTGCAGGTGTACCTCCTCGGGCTTGCGTACCCTTTTCTTCCTAATAGTGTGTGTGTTCTTTAGATCTTCTGATGGCTCTAGAATATTTGTGACCACGGACCGAGTCTTTGCTAGATCTTGGGATTAGCAACTGACACGAGTTTAATGTGAAGAAAACAACAAACAACAGCAACAGGCGTCGCGCCAAGGGCATGGGGTTTCCATGGCGTGTGTAAAGTGTTGGGGGCCAGAACCGTCCTATTTATCACAGACTAATCTAGCGTCACACGTGGGGGTATTATTAGTAGTTACGGGGATCCTGCGGTTCTACTGGCTTCGTTCCCTTAGCGCTCCCCCGCGTCGAATCGCAGTCGCATGGCTCGCTGCGCGACTTGAATCGCCGCACGTTACATGCCTACCAGCCTCGCCGCTTGATTACCCCCTACAGTATCCAACCACTGCAGTTGTAGACCATGTACATGCGACCTTCGGTTGGTAGTAGTCTAGGTACTGAGACGCTTGTAGACTGGATATGGCTGCCTTTTGTAAATGATGATCATTGGCTTGTTCACTAGTCTACACACAATCTCTCTTGTCGGTTGTGCTGGTGTACCTCCCGACCGCGTTGTGTTTTTAATTCACACTCACTGGTTGGCACCATCGCTGCCGCTACCGAAGTTTGTACGCCATTTGCTGACACCAAGGCATTTTTTCGCTCAATAGTTCACAGGAAGACTACAACAGCAGTACTGCTGTAGGCATGGAAGGCTTGAGGTATTCCTGGTCATAGACTAGACTACCCATGCAAAGGTATTATTATAGTACTGTAGTTCACAAGCTCTTTCTTTGTTTTCGTCACTTCGCCATGAAATCCTTGCTCGATCAGTTGGCTGCCGCCGCATTCAATATCATTAGTCTATACAAAAAGACGCCAGAAACATGATGGCCAAATGATTGTTGTGTCAACACATACAGCAGTACTTGCAGATTACTCTCGAACTAACGCGCCGAAAGTTAACGGACCGTGCAGCAAAACAAGCGCCACTCGTTATGCAAAACTGCTCCGTACCCCCGTGTTTACACCTCTAGGGACCAAGAACTCCTTGCTGGATCAGTTAATTGCCGCCGCATTCAATTAAGACTTGAGGCCAATACGCTGTTCCCTTGACCCCAAAGCGTAGGGACAGACATTGCAATAGCTCAATTGACTTTCAGCCATCTACATTTCAAGCCCCTCTCTAGGTGTCAATCCGAAGTAGTAACACGTCGATAAACCGCTCCGAGATCGTACGACAACTTCGAGACCCCCCTCTCCCCCATGATGGTGGTCGTAGGTTGTGTAATGCGGGGTCGAGAACCCTCACTCCGCGGAAAGGGGGTGATCGCACCACGTTGTGTTCAATTGGTCAAGCATCTCCTGGCTTTGTAGGGATGCGAGGTCAATGGTCTAACGACTGCGGCATGCACGACTATGAGTANCCCCCCCCCCCCCCCCCTCCCCCTCCAAATTGTGTTTTTTTGCTCTTGCTCCAAGATCGCACGACAACTTCAAAACCCCCCACCCAAAACAAGTATTTACGGTACGATCTTTTGTGGTCACGCGACCCCTTCAAATAGCTTGTTGCAGAATTGCCTGTATCAGAACGCTTTGTTGCCGTATTTCGCTAGCTCGAAGGTGTCCTCCCTGCCCAGCTCCCTAAGCTTCTTCGTTGCCTTGTTCGCGAAGGTCTCGAACTCCTTGTTAGTATAGGTTTCCTGTGGATCCCAACCTACCATGGACATGACCTGAGGTTTGGCGGAACGTCGGCGTTCAACGGTAGCAAAAGTGTAGCAAAGAACATAATGTCGAATGAGGCTTGTGATTCTCTTTTTGAGTGGTCCCAAACCGGCTCACGATTGAGCGCCATTCGCAGCACATGGAGATGTCCCTGCATACGACTTCGAGTACGACATATGTATTGCAAGAAGCTCGCCGTCGATATCACGGTTGAACAACTGAATGCAGGACACATCGCAACGCATCGGATGTGTCGCAAGTGTACCCTAGTTGAAAGCATACTGTCATCGACAAGAACGTTCACTTCAATCATCACGGCTTCACGATATGCAACAGAAAAACGTGCGTTTAGACTGCACTGGTGGCTGAGCATGTAGCATGTTTCGAACAGAAAACTCCCACCTCGTCAACAGATGGCTCCACGGTGTCGTGGGAGCTGAGCTTCGCCGCCTCGATTGCGGCTATTTCTCGACGAATCTGCATGTATGTGCATAAACGTGGCGTTACATAGGGGATAATGACCCCAAATCAAGACGCCAAATCAAGCCGAGAAGGTACTTTCTGGGTGGTAGCGCTCCTCATAATGCGCAAAGCTGCTACAAGAATCCTTCACACATCGGACTGCGAAAAAAAAAAAAGGCTCCATCACCGCTATTTTGGGTTGCCGGTCGTGCATGCGGCAGGAAAAAGGCTTGATTTGCCTGACGCTTGTGTCTGGCTGCTTTGTTCATATACCTTCGGGTCGTCTGGGGAAGGAAAGGAAGTGCCTCTCGTTCGATAGTACACGTTGTAACCTCTGCCTCGCGAGTCAACCTTCATGATCATTGATTTTCTTTCTTTTCGTGTTGTTCCCCAAACAACAACTGCAGGAACTCCGAGTTTTTGTGCTGTCCCCATGCAATCAAGGAACGCCGATTTCTGCAGTGTACCTACTGTAATACACGGCGACCTGCAGTTTCGCGTCTACTTCAGCGCACTAACCTTTTGTTCCTGCTGGAATTCCTGAACGCGTTCCTCCCGCAGCTTTCTTGCCCTCACCATAGCATGATCTACTTCCCATTCTTTCTGACGCTGTAAGGACTTCTCCGTCCGCATCGAGCTTGGGGAGCTTGATCCGCCGTCGCTGGCTTGTACCAGCTTTTCCGCATCCTGCCAGGAGCCAGCAGATAAGTACGTAAATCGGAGCAGACCTGCACTACTACACGGACGTGCAACCAACAAAAACACAGCCGTAACTAGCACTATTTCACTGGCCAACAGGACGCTTACTGCGCTACTGGGCAACTTTCTGCATCAAGGAAAATAAAACGATTGAGCTGTTTCTGTTCAGACTCTTGATGCAATCGTACCGGAACAGAATGGTGGATGTTTGCTACCATGGTTTCGGCGGATTCTTGGCACACTAGTCTAAGTCATTTGGTACCTTCAAAACTTCCGCAGCCTTGTCTTTGATGAAGACCGCCAATCCCCTGGGCTTAGACCGGCTTGTTTCCCTGGTACTTTCGTAGGGTTCAAATGAATGGCAATAGAACGGGCCTCGTTGGTCGCAGTATAGTCGAGACTACACCTTGTCGTGCCGTATCAGACAGGCGGACGAGGGTTGATGGATAGACACGTGCTCGGAAGCCAACGACGTGCTCGCAAAAACACGGCACGCGCCGTGTATATGGATGTCCAATAGTCCGTGTAGTACAATCAGTGATTCCATTGGCAAATGCTCCAGAGCGACTACCGAATAGGTTGGGTCCAAGAAGATTCTCCCGAAAACTGCGTCCAAGAATATGCCAACCAAGGTATATGCATACACCTCTTGCCAATCAAAGCTGCTAACAAGAGTGATCACCTTGGCTCCTTGTCGACCCTCATGGATGCCTTTCGATTCCCGCTAACGATGGCCTTTCCAGAGACACCGTCCACCGGCGACGGAAGGTTGGTATCTACAGAGCAAACGAGACCCAGCTCGAATTTAGTCACGAAACACTTCGGTGCATCCAGCACCAATCACGTATATACAATCCCAATCCACGTTGGCGAAGGAATCAGCAGTTGCACCTTTGTGACCAAATCGATTGCGCATGAGATAAAACTTTTGTTCTTATCAGGCAGCACCTGGCATGGGATTGCTACCAAGTGCTGCACGTTTCGAAACATACCTTCAGTGCGCCGAACTCTTCTCCGAGACTGGTTGATGATCGTCACTGCACAACAAACAATACTTATCGATAGCGGTTCCGAAACACCGCAAAGACGTGAATTAACAACTACCAACGTTCAGATGGCTTGTGTACACAAACCCAAGAAGCGGTCGGCTCGCCTTTTTTCAAGGCTAAAGCTCGATCTTGAAGGCCACTTGCTGCCTCGTGAACTTCGCCGGAAGTGATCTGCAAGGCCACTGCTTCGGCGGAATCCGTATCGGGCGCGGTCGTGGCAAGGGCTGTTGACACTGTTGTTCCGTCTTTTGAGGTCCTCTTGGTAGTGCCTCTGAGACGGTCATAGAAGGCAGAATATCCACGAGCATGTGCGGGTCGACAAACGGCGTAGAATATATTTCATAGGGTTTTCGAAGATATTGAGCTGTGCCTTTCTACAGCAGCAGCGATAGCAGTTGCGGTAATTGTTCAGAGTGACACCCCCTCGCTCGTTTTCTTTTTCCTTCCGTGTCGACTTGGTTCGGGCGACTTCAGGAACCGACGGTTCGCTCACTGTTTCATTTCACTGGGCGCTGCAAGGCTGCCACGGGCTCGGAGGAGCTCATGTCGGCTTCGGCGAAAGACGTGTAGCTTGTACTCAAGAACTGAGGACGGCAGCCTTTCATGGGCCCCAAAATAACAGCCGGCGACGCCGACCACGATCATTTCTCCTGACGCCATGGGAAATGCCATTGTAGTGCTGCTGCGAGCCAAGTCGACTGCCACGAATGAAAACGCTCGCGGGATCGCTGCGGTCCAGCGGTCACAACTGCAACATGTCTACGTGCCAAGTCTAGGGCGCTTTTCGTTCTACTTCAGCCAGTCTCCCGCTGCTCTCTGGGCGCCCCTGCTGACGCCTACGTGTGTTGCGTACGATTTGCATTTACCACGTTAGTAACCGAGTGCACCTACAATTTGATAGTGGCTGCCTTCAACGGCCACCCTAACCTTACTTCTCACCGGCCGGCTGATGAGGTACTCACCGACTAGCGCTGGTGGTGGCATCGATATTGTCCCCGTCCGACAATCCAAGCAGCGGTGATGATGATGAAGAAGAGACACTCTCGCGGTTGTGATCGCTACCAGTGCTTTCATCATCGCTTGAGTAACAAGCCGAAGGGAGTAGACGGGAAGAAAGATTGACTTGTTCAGAGTCGTACATACCAACTTGGACTCGTGCTTTTTGCCAGTTAAACAAACTAACAGTAGTTGTAGTCTTGCATTCATGCAATCGTACTTCAAACACTTGCATCACGCACCCACGGCGGCTGGTTCGCTGATGCAAGAACAGAGGGGGACGGGGCTGGGAGAACCTTCCTACGGCCGTGTCAGATTTGTGGTCAAAGCACCAGTTGCGGTATCTCAAAGTGGTAAAGGGTCGTCGTTGACACCAACCGCTGCTGTCTATCTCTTCATATAGCACTTGTATCCTTGACTGGCAGTGACAATGTTGTGTATACGTACGCACTCTGAGTTGTTGTTAGGAGGTTTGGGCCCAAGAAGTTGATCTACCCACAATATAACGCTCTCCTCCGCTTGCAAACTTTGGTACGTGCATGTGACACACCTGTCACCGGCCGAGCTGCCGGACGCGTTGTCTGCAGACGACGAAGAGGACCTGGATCGTGATCCTGAACCGGAGCAAGACGTGGAATACCTGAGGGAAAACATGCCATGAGAACATTGTTTTCGGAAAGCAAACGTGATAACAGGGAGCATGCCCAGCCAGCCTACATACCAACTGGCCGCTTCTCGGGCGATAAATGTTTGTGTCTGTGCACAACATCGACGGTTTTCGGAAACAATGAAGGCCGCAAGTCAAGCCGAGCAGCTCTTGCCACCCCTTCGATTTCCGCGAAGGTAGTCTTGCGCCGAACACATATCCCAAGTTAGGCTGTCTCTGAGCAAGTCCCTTGATCCCGTTTCGGCGAAATGCTTCAGTAGCAAACTCACGCCGTTCCGACTGAGGTCTTCAGGATTTCTGACGTAGTCTTTTGCGTTGTGTTCAGCTCCCTGGATCCGGCCTCAGTAATGATCGGTATCGTTTCAGTTGTGGCTTGTGCCTCACACACATATCTATACATGTACTGATGTCCAGAATTCCCCTACGTCATACCTTGCATTGATAATCACAAGCCAAACATTGAGCGTGAAAACACTCACGGTGAACGTTGTTTCGAATGATCACAAAACCACGAGGTTCGGGTTGGCTCGATGGATAAATCCGGTATCAACAAGTCTCTAAACGTTTCGGCTTGCAGACACTTGCCTATCGTCCTCTGAGTCCGCCGCATCGAATGCCGCCAAGCTCGATGCTGCTCCCGCTGATGTGTTGCGTGCAGATAAGGACCGCGACGACTCTCCGTCTTCCACGTCGCTCTGACAATGTGCAACGGGGCGGCAGAGTGCGACATTCGGTCATTAATCTTGATACCACAACCGATCTAGCCTCGCACGCGGGTTAATATTGGGCTTCGTTGCGCTTACGACGGGTTAGAGAGATTTCTGGCTCAGTATAAGCAGTGCGCGTAGTCAACTTGCCACCGTTTCTTTTCGCTCATGGTCGTACATGTGCGAAAAAAATAACTAAACTTGAGGAGTGGAAAACAACCAAGCCCAAGTACACCTGTCCGGTGCGAGCAACGTACCCTCGTTACCGATGACAAAACCACCCGTGAGCCCCCCCCCTGCGGTCACTCCCTATTTCTCCGGGTTTTCCTAGCTCTTCGACCATTTTCGCTGTGGGATAGAAAATGCGAAAAGCCCCCCGAGCAAACCCTTACCGAGGATCCACCACCATCACCATCACCGCCATTGTCGTTGTCATTGTCGCCGCGGTCATCGCCGCCGCGGTTGCCGCCGCTGTCGCTGCTGCTGCTGCTGCTCCTACTGCTACTGGAGGCGATAGACCACCCCGAGCTTCTAGAGCCGTCGCTGCGGCTGTCGCCAGCCGTACCTCTACCTCGTCGTCTTGGAGCAGTCTCCTCGGTGTCACCGCTGCTGTCACCTCCGCTGCTGCTGCCGGTGCTGCTCATGTCCTCCAGCCGTTGAGACGGAGGCTTGGGAACCTTCGTGGAACACGGCCACGAAAGCGTTGAACGCAAGCGCCGTCGGGGGGAAGAAACGACTATGGACTTCAACCAAGCCTTACAAAGGGCGAGAGGGCGCCAGGTTCCGTCACCCACAAGGTTTCATTAGTCACCTCTCGCATGGAAATCGTAGAGGGCACACCATCCTTCAATGTAGCAGTCTAGACTACATGTCGAACCATGCATTCATCCACTCGACTTGGATAGCGAACGGCGCCAGTATGGGACGCACGGCACTTGAAATGTGCAATCGAAGAACGTCATACAGCAAGCATACCTCGTAGCCATCCGGAATGAACTCCTCCACCGTCGGACGCACCGTTCGCACGTCACCCGTTTCCCTAACAGTGCACCGAGCGAATTTCAAGCACAGAAGCAGCGCGGGAACTGGTCAGGGCTACCCCACGTGTCCCTCTTTTCGGATCTGACGTTCGTGGTAGCCATGTTGCATCTCAAGGTACAACAGCTCACGATAACGACGATCTAACGCCTGGGTATCGAGAGCCAAAATTCAGTTTCCTCATCTTCTCTTACCTCCAACGGCTTGTCTTACGAGTTCCCGTTACATCGTTAGTCTTCTCGCCGGCTCTCTGCACCCCCTTCACCGTTGTCAGACCCATTATTACTGGCTTGGGTGATGCCCACACGTTTGCGAATCAAACGGTGCGAATCAAGCGATTCTTGAAGCGGGTTCAACACTGCCACACTTCGGCCTCATGCGTTGTCGTTCTTCTCCGGCAAGGCCTGGCCTAATCCCCGTCCTAGCCCAAACCGGACTGTTACCAAAGGCATCCCGGCAGTTGGCGAACTAAGTAGCGAGCTGTTCATTGTCAGACAGGTTGTATTGCACACCCGATACAATCGAAGTCTCAGCTCTGGGATGGGATCGAATATCCTCACGCGTTGCGGACAGTCTGGGCGTCCTCCTGACATTCTTTGGCCATTGATCGCACGACCTCTTTCTATCCAAACCTTGTTCCGTTGTTCGTAAGGCGTACCATGTGCAGGTACCCGCGCACGCAACACCTTGTGGAAGATAGCCTTAACAGTGGATGCTTTGATCCCCGTTCTTTCTCGTTGCTTCTCGGAGAACCGACTCACTTGTGCCTCCAAGTTTGCGTGTCAGTATAGATGTCGTACTCTTCTTCCCAAAAGCTTGCTTTCCATTCGGCCATCACACTCACAACCCCAGCCGCCTCGTAGTTGTGCCATGCCTCTCGTAGAGCCTGATAAAGAAACAAAAACAATTACAGTGCAAATACACTTCTATTTTTGCCTAATCCCACCGAGCCTCACCAGACTCACGTATCTGCGGTATTGGCCATCGTTTGTAGCGTAAGAGCATCAAAAGACGGCACCGTTGAGACTTAGACGAAAAGGATGGTATTGCGCTTCACAGGTGTTCCTCTCGGGCAACTACAACGCCCAAGTGTGTTTGATTTTCCGCCAAACATCAAGGGCATCCCTTCTGCGCCCTGGGTGCTCCAATTCTCAGCTCTGGTTGGAAATGTCTTGCTGGTCCAAGAGAGAGATCCGACAGCGAAGTTGAGGGGGAGACAAGGTACCGAGAGCAAGGTACCCACACACTGGCCTACCGATGGCAATCCTGCATCCTTTCTCCTTTCAGCTGTGCAACGCCATTTTTTTCTGGCGTGTTTCGGCGCCACTACTAAATACCGCGGATCAGAACAGAGACAAAGGCGCGGATGCCGCTGGTATTTTCACCATGGACCCTCAAGCAGCGTAGTCAACTCCAAAGGACATACCTTCCGTGCGTCTTTTCTGCGCTGGCTTATCCTTTTCTTTGTCCAGATTTTCCATTCCGCGAACGATTCCCGCATCCCCACCCCTAACCACATCGCCATGATCCTCCGGAACACCTGATTTAGCGATCACGAAGACCGAATCGGTGGTGGTGGTATTGGGACAGCTACCATTTTGTCGTGGCTCACCCATACGGGAATGAAATCTTCACTTTCCCTCTCGAGAACTGCCGCTATATTTCTTTGCGCTCATGACCCTCTCCATTTCGGCGTGCTCCTTTGGCTTTATGGCCATGGCGTCACGAGACAGTTGTGGGTATGTTTCGATGTCTGGCAACGTCAGACTTGCGGAGGATAGAGGTAAAGACCCGTGGGGCGTCCGATTGAAATGATGGAATGATGAACTGCTTCCTGTCCGAATTTTGTTCTCGTGCAAGCACTCCTTCGTTTGAGCTCACGTCGAGGCACTTCACCTCATTTCCCCGACGTGAAACGTGGAAGGTACGCAGCAGAGTTTCGCAGCCGCATGTTTGGAACGTTGTGAGGGAATGGCGCCTTCGGACACGCACATAATCCAGGTCATGGATGATGCAATAGCTGCGTGATCAAGTGGAAGATCGGAAAAGCAATGTGCCGGTTTAACCAAAGTCTCGCCTCGTGCTCCTGTTCCGCTTTTCGCCTGGCGTTTTCCCCCGCTGCCTCCATGTCTTGCAGCACGAGGTCGACCACCATTTCGTCAACGATCTCCTGGAACTCCTTGTCCCGCTTCACCTTCTTCCCCATCACATTGCGCGCTTTCTGCGTCGCCACCATGGCCACCTGTTGAGTACCACGAAGCGAGCATAGAAATAGAGTGCACGGATGAATCCAAGATCTAGGGGTCCAGCTGGAACACGTGCTGCGCGGAATAGAGCGGGTGAGTAAGGCGGTCTAAAAACTGGCATGTGGAATTTCTATTCTCTCGATGCCTGTTCGAATGCACGAACACGGGTACAACAGCGATGTTCATGACATGCGATGTACACATGTACATGCTGTCGGAACTCTGTGAGACGAGACGAAGCGCAAGTACAATCTTCCGTTCCTTTTCAAAGACAAAATCAGAGCGAGTGCGGAGAAGATCAGGCTTCTAACGGAAAAGGACTCGAGGAGGAGAGAAAAAAGAAGTGGATCGACCACAATTACCACTATCACGTACAACCAACCCATTTCACCCACTTCGAAACTGGCTGCTGCTTTCGGAAACTACTCGGGGGTTTGGTGCAGCGCGTAGCACAGTGTGTCTGTTCACGGAAACATGCCACAGTTGGCGAGGGAATCGCGCTTACCGTATGCTCCGCGAGACCCTCAGCGCTTGAGGGCATTTTTCTGAGGCTCGGGTAATTGCGATAGACATGATCATACCAGGATCATACCCGTTCGTCCGGGTACAAAGGAAGGGACTTATCTATCGACGATTTTCTTGAATTAGAGTCGCTTCTTGCCCCGACGGGTTGTGCTCTCGATAGCGCTAGTGTTAACCTACGTGAACAGTTCAAGAACCCTAGCCCAACCACCAGTGGAAGAGAAATATTTCGACAAGTACGCGCGAGTCATTAACAATCACTAGTACAATGTTGGCCATCGAAAGAGGCAGGCCAACTCGGTCGTAGAACGGGGCGAGTTGAACTGCTCGAATGTGCGCACGTCGGAGACAAGAATCGCACTTGGCATCGTGTGCTTTGCACCTTCTCTTCCAGCTTCGCCACCTCTTCCTCGAGCTGCTGTTCAACCTCGGCCAGTTTTCTGTCCTCAGGTAGGGTTGCCATGCTCGCCAACACCTGCAGGTAATAATTTCTTGTGGTTTCAATGATATCCAAGCTGCAACAAACACAGGCGACTGCGTATTGACCAGCCCGCAAGAAGCCTGTATTGTGGCGTCCAATACACGCAGGACATAATACTTAACGTCCAAGTTCCGGATGCTTTAGCCCCAAGGCATGCTTATGTCATTGAGCAAGGTGTTGAAATATTCGCATTAACCTCTCTCCGGCTTCTGCGGGAACGAAACCCACCAGTGTATTCGGCTTTGCGGGAATACGAGTGTAGTGTACGAAGATCAGGGGTGTAGGGCCATCATTGCATTACGATTGTGGAGAGGGTGATCGACAAGACAAGACATTGATACATGACAATCTTTAGCCTGTACCTTACGCAACCTTATTATTGCGCACATGTACAAGGTACCTGATCTATTTGGGCTTCCTTTTGTTCTTTTCCCCACCCTCTCAGGGACACCAGTTCCTCCTGGAGACCTGCCACCTTGAGCTGAGGGGATAGACAAACGGGTCAGGGGCCGAAACGAAGAAAAAATAATGCCATCATCCATGCCGTATTCGTGCTCATGCACCTTGCCCTCCACTATTGTTCCTTTCGTGTGGCCCAATCATCACCCCACCCCCTCTGGCAGGCCTTAAACATTTGGTAGGCTCGTCGTAGAGCTTCTCGGACATGGGAAGTACCAGCGGGTTGGCTACACTTATCCCATGCTCTCATACCCCATGGTCAGTGTCAAGTTTCATTGGGGACCGGCTCTTCTGCAGTAAGAACCGAACTCAGCGTGTTCGAGTGCAACTCTGCTCGTGTGTATACTCCCCGACAAGATCTGCGCGGACTTTTCTTAACGTCATAGCGGAGCCTGCTCATGTGTTGCGTCAGGATAATTTCATTTTGACCGATCGTTTCCCCTGCTTGATCTCTCGGGGAATTTTTTTTTCGGCCAGTTGCACAGTCGTCTTCCGGCAGCATGGCATCAGCTCGATCAGGAATTCTTACCCGCTAGTAATCTAACATGACTTCAAGGCTATGATTCTTCGATATCAAGATGCCATGCAGGACGTGGAAGCAATGCACTTCCGCGAGGTATCCCCGGTGGGTGGATGGCCCTTATCAAGCCAGACGCCATCCTTTTCAAATACCAACCCGTAGCACACTTGGTAGGGATACCTTGAGATCCGCCAGCCGATGTTCCCTCTCTTTGTTCAGCGCGTCCTTGCGTTTGGAGAACTTCTTTTCGACGACCTGGCGACGGTGGACTTTCATTGCTTCCGCTTCGCTCTCGAACTCCCCCATCTAAGAAGAAATCATATATTTTAACGCGGGTTTGGCTATTGAAACATGCCATTCTTTTGCATCTTCGTGATGCTTTTTTGGCTGGCCCCCACAAAAGGAGGGCACCCTCGAGGATGAAATGGTCAAACGTACTGCTGCTGGGAACACTAAAAAGACTACATGATTTCGGCATCACTTGAAACTGATCGATAGGTGAATTGGCAACTCGCGAGTTCGAATGCTTTTTAACGCCGCGAGAGAATACACCGCACTACTATAGGATCTTTGAGCCACCCGGAGTGTCGGGGTAAGTGAACGCTGTGTATGCTCCTCACTTGCTTCGATGGGAAAACTAGCGTTAGTCTATCGTATGGAATGAAAACAGGAGCATCCATCCGCACACGAGAAGCTTCATGGGAATTTTGAACGAGAGCCGGGGGCGCTACCTGCTTCTTCTTCTTGAGAGCCTCGGCCATCCGGATGGCCTTTTTGGTGTAGCTTTTCTTGCCCTCGATGGTTTCGGAGCCTTCTTTGACCAGCCTCCTGGCGAGAGCGACACGAAACTCTATGTCCTCCCTCTCGGTTGCTTGCCTTCGCCTGCCGAAACGGGTATTGTCATAAAGAAGTCACAATTCTCGCCTGTACGTGTTGGCGCGTTGCGCAGTTTTCTTCGTTCGTACTCGTTCACTCCTGCTACGTAGATTACCAGACCGACGGAATCCGATGTTTTCCCACTGTGCTATTTACTTTCCATCGCTCAACGATCTAGGCAGGGTCGTTCTGGCAAAGACTGCGATTACGAACGGGGATCAGTACACGGTAAGGCACGGCATTCCGCATGGGTTGTCAACTCTAAGTGCATAACCTACCAAGCGGCAATACGTTCAAGGTGTATCGATATATGGTATCTGCAACAGTTTCAATCGATATATTTCGACCGTAATTCGCTCCACCAAGGATGTGTTGACTGGCCACACAAGATGCGTTTGGTGTGATACGTCTCGTTTTCCTTCACGCCAGACTGCTGTCCACAGGTAAAGTGTTTGCAGCTACTGGTACAAGAACTCACCGCTCCTCTTGCTCGCGTTCGAGGATGATGTCGTGCTTGATCAGAGTAGCCTTTCGCTCACACATCCACCCTACCTTCGGAGGCACGCACACCCTCCTCCGTCCGTTAGCGCCCATGCACCCACACCTGACAACGACGGGAAAGCCAGACATGCATACAACCCTGCAAATCGCTCAGTCGAAACATGGCTACTGGCCATGTTCCTGTACGAACAAGTTTGATAGTGTGCTCCTGTGTAGCGGTAGCAAGACCATTATGAAACATCGAGAAATATATTAGCAATAAATCGACGGCCGCAAACTCACGCACCTCAGCCGCTAGTGTATCTTGAAGTTCAATTCCTTTTCCGAGGCCAACAGCGGATTCGGCTATCCCGGTTTCAATATCCCCCCGGTCATTGGGCAAGCACCACTCAAACCGTCCACGTAGCGAACAGTGGTAAGAGGAAAAAATCAATTATCAGCAGTTACATGGATGCTTGCCATTGTTTCAATAACAAGGCAAGCGCGAACAAGAACGCTACGCAAACCGAACACAAAACACCTCGATTGTGCACACCTTCGAAACATTTGGGTCTTGGTTCTCAGCACCCTGCCCGTGGGATCCCTGTAGTCGAGGAGCACGCTATCTACCTCTTCCCTCGAGTATCCGAAAGACGTGACGGCACCTCTTGGCACCGCCGTTCCGGTTTGCCACTCCTGGGCAGCCGTAGAAATAGGGAGGGTTGCGATCGTGGAATGAAAAACAAGTTTTTGTCGCGAGGTTCCCTCTTCCCCGTGAGACAACTCATTATTCTTGGACCGTGTGACGCTGACCTCTACGTTCCTCCGACGGTCTCCACGCGTGCTTGTTCCGTTGCTTTGGAAACTTCAATTTCAAAGCGAACGCATCAGGTGAGACGCACGCGGCCCGTTTGGGTCCAAACGTGCCAAGATATGCACGCCTGTTGGACGGTAGAACTCACTCACCCTCTCGAGGGCGGGTAGCATTGTGTCCCAGAACCGCTCGTAGACGAGAGCGTAGAAGTGGTCGGTGCCTTCGTTCATTCCGACCTCGACATCCGGCTCAAAAAAAGCAGGGTGGCCTAAGCCCCGTTCATGGATCTGAGGGTGATCATGTTTTCGTCAAGTGACACTTCAACAACAACAACATCAGCAGCAGCAGCAGCAGCAGCAGCAGCAGCAGCAGCAGCAGCAGCTACAACAACAACCACGACGACAAAACACCAACCCTGCCGGAAGTAACGTGCTTGGTCAGAAAGATAACAATTTTCCCGTCAGTATCTCGATCGTGCCGAAAAAAACCAAATTCTCGGTTGTTTCGAATCGTACGCGGCATTTAGAGCCCCGCACATGATTTGGCAGTGCCGAGGCACAACAGAACCAAGTGACCCTCGCAAAATAAGGTGGACTTTCCCGCAGCAGTTGGAAAGAGACATCACGGCGAGGGCCACCCTGAGTTCAACACTACTATTGTATAGGAAGTACTTTCCATCGGATTCACAACACGAAGGAAGGGTCAAGGGTTGGGGTTTCCCACCAACGCGCCGGCTCAATGCCACACTCGCGCACCACCGATGATTTACCTGCTTGAGGATATCCTGGACGGTCATAACGATGGTGTGCTGCCTCGCACTGACGCGGTCATGCATTCGGCGGTGGCACCACGCGCGGACCCGATCGCAGCCCTGCAGGATGATCTCCTTGGGGGGATACACCATGTCGTTTTGCTCGAGCATCAGCTGTTGCAGCCCTCCCAGCTGGTGAAACATCATCGGCAAGCCTGTGTGGCAGACGGACACATGAAACACCACGTGCGTTCGGGCGTTTGATCTCTTGAGTAGTAGTCTGCCACCAAAAGATCCACAAGAGAGGAATGATTTGCACTAGCGATTGCCGCCCGGTGGTGTACCTATCCTTGAGTGACTTTGCGTAGATACATGCTCGACCAGGCAGGCGAGGAGAGAACGTCGCGTAGTGCGAAAACTTCACACACCAAACGGATAATCCAGCAAACGGTAGAGCAAGTGTTGTGCATCGACGGAGTAGGCTCAACCACGTACCTGCAATGTAGTTGTGGTCGAGCCACAAGACTTTCAGAGTCTTGAGTCGGCAGATGCTATCCGGCAGTTGATTCAGTCTGTTTGACGCCAGGTGGAGCGCCGTAAGTGACCTGCCAGAAGGGGAGGGAGAGTCTATCGACACTGTTTGAGTGCTTCGTTTTGGTTCCCGAGGGAAAAGGAAGGCAACATGGCGACACCTTGTTCCGCAATAACAGTGCGTAGTTCTCCGAATGATCAATGTGGCGCAAGTAAATATTGCCCAGTCACTTTGATGCCGGGTGGACAACGCGTCATCACTAGCGAAGAGGCGACGCCACAGAATTGAGTTTGTGTCCGGCGAAGCAAGGGCCCATGTCAACGAAAGCAGCGGAAGGCAATCGTCTATCAAGTAAACCACTTTTCGCCGTGTGAAGTTCATGCGAGCACGAGTAGCTTTCGCTCTTAAAGGCTATCGAACGCAGATTCTTGGCCACCGCCTAAAGGCAATCACCCTAGAGCGTTGTGGGACAAAACCACTGCTGGAAATGGGAGTATGTAATCAACTGAACTCAAAACACACCAGGGATGGAATTCATCGTAGCTGGATATTCCGGCTCTCTCGTTGGGTGGAAGAACCTCTTCTCCAGTTGATCGGTCGGAAAGAGGATGTTATTGCAGGCCGAACATAGTGAGATAGCGGTCGGCACCGAACGTCGTGTGTAACACACCTGGAATCTCCGATATCCGAGGGGAGGGACCGTAGACCGTTGTTGACGGCCGAGATCTTGGTCAGTCGTGGCATATCTTTCAGGCAATGGGGGAGACCGGCCTGGGCGGCAGGCGCAATCGGGCGATTGGAATTAACCACCACCACCACCGCCACAGACGACCCATCACGGCAAGAAACCAACGAGAGGCACGAAACTACCACCAAACTGCAGGCGTAAGTACATTTACTTTTCCAAATTCAAAAGCCTGACTGCTCCACAACGAAACTCACTCTACCCGACTAAGCGACTGCGAAAACCAACTGCTGTCGTGTCTGAGGAACGCTCTCGACGATATATTTCCACAAGCACCCTTTTCGGCATGACCACCGTCGTGGGTATGGAGCGATCGAACGTTCAAGACCGGTCCTGGGGGTGTGCTTTGGTATTTCATACTTCTATTCACCAGCTTGTTGTTGCTGACGTTGAGCCATCGGCACTTCATTCTCCCCAAAGTCTCCGGCAGTCTGCGCAAGGCGTTGCAGTCCAGCACGACTTGATCCAGGCGGAGGAGGTTTCCAAATGAAGGAGGGATCGTCTCTAGCCGATTTTCGGTCAGTGACAGATTTCTCAGCCGCAGCAAATTACCGAACCTAAGTTCCGGATCAACACGGACAGCCCACAGAAAGAAGTAACACAGCATGTGGGACGACCATGCATAGACCTTTTCAACCGTTAGAAAGCCCAGACGCTTGGATCCCAAGCGCAAGGGTCAGCAGGCCCCACAAGAATGGGCCAGCGTTGGTTTGGCCAAAGACTTCAAGCTGGACGTATGGTATCTGGTTACAGATGCGACTAGATACATTTGTGTCGCAGTACCTGGTGTCAGCATACAGGAGATAACCCACTGTTCCATTTCAGAGAAAGACACGGTTGGATTGCAGGTTGCATGCGAGCCCTCGCCCAAGTAGAGGTTGGTACGACGACCTACTCAGATAGATAGAAGAACCTACTTTGAGCACAAGGTTCGCATTAAAGGGGCAGTCGTCGTATACCAACTCCATCGTCATCAACGCACCAAACGATACCGACAAGCAGGTACAACCCAGCCGTGGATCCTGATCAATACACATGCTAGAACTTGTACACGTCCTACGATACGAAACTCTCATGTTCCACACCTCCACAGTTCACCTCCTCCTGCGCAACCGCTTATATTTTTTTGTAAGCTATAGCGGATCATTTTCATTTGAAATTAGCTCGATGAAGCGGTTCCCGATACAGTCGACCACGTTTTTCCAAAAAAAAATGTCTTTAACGCGGGGAAGTGTCTTGAAAATTCCGAGGCCACTAACAACAACATATTCGCCTGATTGAGAGCGAAGTATCTGATTGAGAGCGAGAGCCAAAAAAATTGAAATTTCGGGTCCAGACGCCTCTTGCCATTTCTTGGCAAGTAGGGGACGGGCTATTCCAAGAAGCGGTGCAAATTGAAGGTCTCATCAGCAGCTTCGCGAGCATATGCGTGTCATCGTCATCGGATGCTGCAGCGAGGAGCTAGACAAGTTGCTAGATTTGCCCAGATTGGCTATTTCTGCTCAAACTGTTTCAGGGCGGTATCGCGTCGGGCGGTGGGCTCTGCTGTAGCTTCTGCTCCCCGCTGTAGCTCCACAACGAGAGACTCCCACAGGATGACCAGGGTAGCGGCTTGAAGCTACCGGCTAGCCCTTCAATTCAAGCTACACAGCAAGCTCCACCTCTCAGTGGTAGTCCGACTACAGCGTATCGCGCAATCTCGCTCTCAATCAGATGCTACGCTCTCAATCAGGCGAATATGTTGTTTAACGCACCATCCCCGGGGCCAATGAAGGCAAAACATATGTCAAAAGGTGCGCATTCGCAGCAGAAAGGCGACCACAAGAGGTGTTGTTTGAAACCTACGACACAAAGTGATTTGAAGGTCGCAACAACTGCTGCTATTGTGCTGCAATCCATACTTGCATACCATCGTTTGAATTTCCCCGTACTGTACCACCAAAACGCTGAAAGCGATGGTGTTCTACGACCTACGCATCGTACATGTACACGACGGTAGTGCGTTGGTGTTGATATGGACTTGGTTATTTGTTTTATTTTTTTTTTAGGCCTTATCCTCCCCGTGAATATCTTGCCCAAGATCTCGCTACCGCACCTGAGAAATATCGAAGGTTGTAAAACGACACGAGGAAAATGTAAGTTACGCAGAAACACAGAGACCAACAGTGTCGGGAAAGCACAGCGACAAAGAGGACACCGCGCCTCCCAAAAGGTCAAAACGAGGCACAACACAACACAAACGCCAAATTCAACCTCACGAGACTTCACCCAAGGCAAACAACGAACGTTGACAATAAAAGTGCTCGAAACCAAAAACTACACCCGCCACATATCCCAAAGAGTCGCCTGCACCTCCCCCCCCTCCTTTGCTCTTCGCTTGACCTGAGTTTCATGAGTAGACGAACCGCTAGCAGATGGAATGAATTTTTCCATACACCCACACGCAGTGTGCGGCTGCAGCAGATCGCCGTTGATGATCCAGGATCTACAGGTGCTGCAGCACATTTTCTGGGGGGGGTCGAATGGTGGAAAACCCTATCCCCTCCCTTATTTTTCACAATCTGCGGGGCACCATGTTTCTGAGATTTTTTGTGTCCTTAAAGCGGGGAGTGTCTTTAAAAATGGTGTCTTAAGCGGGGACGACTGTATTTGAACTGAGTCAACAGCGTTTTCATCAAGAAACTAATCAAGCTACGTGAGCACACAATCATCCCACCTTTCCCAGCACATGAAAATTGTTCTGCTTCGAATCTCGAAAAAGAAGCGGAATGGGTGAAGCGCCTCTTCTTCCTATGTTCAACTGGAAGACGGCGGCGCTGCAACCGACGTAAACCTTTACACTATTCTCACCTGTTCGGTAGGTCGCTGAGTTTGTTTCTAACCAAGTTTAGCTCAGTCAACGCCGTCAGATCGCACAGCCCATCCGGGATCTTCTCGAGAGCATTGCTGGACAGAGAGAGAGATTTCAACGACAAGAGGTTCTGGCCGATGGCGTCTGGAACCTCGGTCAGCCCGAGGCCCACCAACCGGAGATTGACAATCTAGAGACACGCGCAAGATTTCAGGGCGTAGGTGTGAAAATGTAGGGGCGAATATGCATGGTATATATTGGAGTAGATAATTAACGGTGATTGTCTGGAACTCGAAACGATGCTATCAGACTCGATGCCCCAAAACAAAAAAGCAACGGACGCAGGTGGCGCAATCGAATTAGGCTACCCGGTCCATGTCAACCACCAGGTAGGGACTACAGCAATCCAATTGCCTGAAGATACATGCATTCCAGGTATCCCTTTTCATTCCACACTCCTCCCGCCGTCTTATCCACAAAGCCGATAAAATGACCTTCATAACATGCGAAACTTAGCTCAACGAGGATAATGGCGACACCAGGTGTGTCATGTCGTGCCGAACGATGTGCACACGGGCACTCACTCCCACGTGCCCGCCGGAACTACTACCCCGCCCCTCTCACCCTCGTGCCTCTGTTCCTTGCGGGAAACCCGAATATATGACTCTCCGACACGCTCGGGATCTGCTTCCAAGCCAGCGAGAAGTCGCCCTCTTTCCTGACTGCGTGCTGCTCGGCCTCATCCCATAGACCTTGCACTCGTTCAGCTTCCTTAAATTCGGCGCTCTTCCCCTCCTCCAGGAGAAGCCTGTCAAACCGTGCCCGTCGAATCGTCAGGTCCTTTCGACGGCTCTCCCGCTCCGATCGTTGCCGCTTGTGTCGTCTAATGGTTGGCCAGCATGGGTTTGAATTGTAGGACGAGCACATGAGAGGGAAGCGAATTAGGAGTTGTCGAAGCTCTTCTTGGTGAAGCTCAGTGACTTCGGGATTAGGTTCAAGGCACCAGATAACGCCCTTCGAAGCACGTCGCTCCAAAAATTCTCTACTTTCGACGGACGAGGCTCGAGACTTGCAGCATCACTGCTTGTGCTCCTTCACCCCTGCCATTGCTACATGTGCTGTATGCCAAAACCGACTCACGCATCGTCCACAAGTTTCTCGTCCGGGCGTGGAGACTTCGGCCGGAGAGGCGCCACTCCCTTCAGGGGACGATCCCAATACCGCTCTCCCGTGGCGAGGTTTTCATAAAACCAGTACCCGGTTTCCGGATCGACGTGTTTGCTGAAGGCCTACAGTCAGATAAACATTGTTGCTGTGTGTCGCAGGACGTAGGTTGGATTTTCAGTGAGCCCTGTCTGGCTTGGCATCTGCTTGCATACATACCGTAAGAGTCGGAGAGATGGCACCCCCGTGTTAGCGTTTTTTTGTAGGGTATTTTTCAACAACTAGGAGGGTGCAAACTCCAACCGATACCTCTTAGGAAAGCCCTCGACAAGATGTTTCCAAAGCTACCCTTTTCGGCAGTGGTACCCCCCTGGTTGTGGAGAAGTACGCTATACAAAACGTTAACACGGGGGTGCCATCTCTCCGACTCTACGGTAGTCTAGAGTTGTTCAGAGTCGATGCTTCCTGCGGGGAACGTCCAAAATGGGGAATGTCTAGACCATGCAGCAAAGATAAGAACACCGAACAACGGAGACTAATTGATGAAGTTACACCTTGAGACCAGTCAGCGCCGACTCGTCTAATGGTTCAACATTAGGCGATAAAGTATGCACGCACGGATCCGAATCCCGACTGATCACTTTCCCAACGACCATTAAGTGCTTTTCAGGCAGCGTCTGGCGAGGGGTCCGTACCCGGAGATCCCTCCTCTCAATCCCAGGGATAAAAACGCCATAATCCCAAGTGATCCAGCCGGGTACTAATGAGCTGAGCGCATGTCTTTTATTTGATAAAGTTACACCTGTACACCAGTCAGCGCTGACTTGTCTACCGTAGGTGACACAAGATACCACACCCACAGAAGATACCACACCCCAACGAAATTGTACAGAAAATCACACCCGTGTGATCATTTTTTGCGTCCTGGAATAAAGCATCGATTTATCACACGGTCACAGAAGATAGCATACCCCTTAAGTTGAG